GGGTGGGGGAGTGCCATAAAAGGTTACTCATTAGCATCCATGGCACCACAATGGCCACCATGCTTTTATCCTTTTAACTTTCCTGGTAATACTTGCAATCCATCAATACAGCACCGTGTGTACGTTGTCTCGTGACAGAAAAAAAACATATCTTTAAACAATATTAGTTGTATATGAAATCAAGTAAAAATTTATGATATCTTACAGTGAGGAAACATAGCATCGTTTTCACAGGTATATGAGAGGCTAGTCAGTCGCTAGTCACTGAGACTGAACAATAGTTATCATTGGTCGCCATATTTCAATTCGGACCTAAATGCGCAACTTCCAATATGATCAGCTGTCTAATGAATGTCCGTTGGCATAGATGAACATACTTCGTCATGCAAAAATCCAAATGAACGTAGGTCCTTTTAAAAAAAAAATCATTTGCATAATTTTTAAAAATCAAATGTTTATTTAATTGAAAAAATTGTTTTGTCGCCAACTGAAAGATCATTAGCGAATTAGTAAATGTGCATAGTATAAAGTAATAACGCAAAGTATCTGTAGAGTTACAAGCAATGATAACATGATAATCTCTCATACGAATCCATGTAATTTCCAAACGCTATGAGGTTTCAGGTAATTTTGAGCTGGCTATGATAACTTCAGAGATACACAATGGAGAGGCGTGCTACTAACATCTAGTTTCAGTATGGCTTTTTGCAAGGGGTCTATAGGGTCTAACTAAAATGGATATCGAATGTATCTCCGCGTTAATGAAAATCTTGATGCATGCGTCAATGCAAGAGAAAATTTTCTTTTGGTTAATAATATTCTCTCTCTTTTCTAATTGGTGCAATAGCCTTGGAATAAACGAACGACTTCCAAGGTGATGCGTATACCACCTTCCACTAAAAAACGTATGACTCACAATCATTTCCGGGTTTTAGTTATTTTCACAATTCCCATTTCTGGAAATTACAACGAATGTATTTTGTTAACAGTTTTTCACGTTGTTTTCGTACATACAAAATGGGCATTTCCACCGAGAGGCATGCATGCAACACATCCCTTTTTACTAAACAAGATATCTCTTTTTCTTCCCCTATTTTTAATTTTACACCACTCACTTAAACTGCTCGCTTATAACAAACGAGTTCAAACTTTTATATCTTAATTGATGTTTCCCTAATGTAAACCAAAAATTTACTTAATGCGATTTGTTGAACAATATATGGGAATATATGTAATATATGGCAATATATGTAGCGGTGAGAGCGCTCGCCTCTCACCAATGTTCGGGTTCGAGTCCCTACGAGCTCGGTGTTGTATGTGAGTTGAGTTGTTTGTTGGTTCTCTCCTGTGCTTCGAGGGTTTTCCGGGTTCTCCGGCTTTCCTCCCTCCGCAAAAATTTACTTCTAAATTCCAATTGGAATTTCAGTGGATGAAGAGCCACTCTGTTGAAATGCCACTGCTAAATCCTTTTTTTTTTTTTTTCCTATTTTATTTTTTTTATATATATGCAACTTAACTATTCTGAACTGAACACAACTCAAAAACGTAGTTGGTTTTGACTTGCTGTGATTTCTATTCTCGTTGTTTCGTTATTCTCTTGTGTCTCAGCTTCTTCTTTGACCATTCCTCAGTCCTCCTCGTGATCTGTGAGCTCCAGCACGGTTCAAACATTCGGCGCCTATGTGCTACTGTTAAGCTTGCAAGCTTTGTCCAAGATCGGATCGATTTAGCGCCACTGTCTTGACATTTTGTAGGTTAGAAACAAAATAATGTTCAAAGGTCCAAAGACGGATGCAGCTAGCATCAGCGAGGGAGCAGTTTTCAACACTTTCAAAAATGTGACAAAGAGACTTGAAAACATCAAGTAGCCATGGACAAGCTGTCGGTGCGCGGTGGATGGAATCTTGGAAGCTGGTAAAATTGCCTTAAGTGTCTGGTTGTTGTCGGGACGGAAGAAAATAGCAGCCAGAACAGAGGAGACCACGGAGAGCAATATCGCCAGACATCGCATATTGATATTGTCAAAGGAGCAGAAGCGAAGACCTGCAGACATCATAATCACATAGATCGGTCCAAACACAATTCTTATTTCCCTGAGATATTCCTTTAACTCATTTGGTTTCCTCAAGAACTGTGTCGTTGCGAAGGCGAGTGTTAAGTTATCAAAAGTGGCTTCAGTCAGATCGCCATGAACTGCGACGTACCAGCTTGTGCTGAGAGCCAAGGTTTTGAGCATTTCGTCGTGAATGTGCCTTGAATTCGAATAAACCAAAGCTAAGATTTCTATAGACACTCCCAGATAAGCATATAAAGAAAGCCAGGAAGCAATAAGCGATGCAACGAAGACTGCAATGGAATCAAAGATCACTTGTTTGTAATGTGCTGTGAAGGAGAAGTTTTTCTTAAAAAATATCGTGAGGATTCGTCCTGCCAGGTATGACATGGAGACCTGATGTACAGTATCTTGAATTGCGTCCATTTTTGTATCATAAACTGAAAACTAACGAAGATTATTCTTTTTTTGCTTTAATTCTGTTTCACTGGCTTTAAAAGTGAATAACAATTTTCGAGGCTAAACGCAGCCTTTTTATAGATTCCCAAGAAATTGACGACATTCCTTGCGTTGTACATTGGGGGAATCCCCCTATTCTAAAGTATCATTGTGACGCAATCTCAATATTTTTGGCCATAGCTCATTAAACATTATTCCGGCCTATTTAGCCTATAAAGATTTTTCGTAGGTCCTTTTACTTTATATTTGTTTTAACGCATTGAATATTCTGTCTTAAGCTTTCTATATTTTAACAACTAGCATTACAAAATTTTGTGTCAGTCTGATAAAGTAGTGCAAATGGGAAAATTAAAGTCCCTACTTATGTACACCAACAGCTTGGTTCTGAAGAAAGACTGACTATATTAACTATTCTATGATTGCTTCACACATGTAAAGCCATATATCATTGCTTAGCCGAAATGAATGAATAAAAAATTGTTATGAAGAGTAATACATTATTCAATGTTTTTTGGTAAAGAGAATTAGTTCTTTTAAGTCTTTTCTCCCCCGCCCCTTCATTTCATATGAAGGAAAGTTAATAATTTTATAAGATAAACGAAAGCGTTGTTTTGCACGAAAAGTCCACTGCTTCTTGGAAATGGATTTTTACCTGTCAAATCCCCTTGATTCTTGGAATCGTGCTCCAAAATTAATGACGTAATGTAAACAACTCAATTGAAAACCAGTAAAACCTGTTTTGACTCGGTCGGTCTATAAGATTAACAATACTTTAATCAAATTCAAATAAATGAAAATGCATGACTGAAATTAGAAATATATCTGGTTTATAGTCTTTGCAGACTTGAGACTCGCTCTAATATGGCCTGGTTTAGGTATACGTAGCCAGGCTTCTCTCTTTTGAAACGCTAAATATAAAAACATGTACAATGTCAAACATGTTTTCAGAACAGACCAAGCAAAAAAGAATAATAAAAACGCAAGAGCGTGTTGCGTTTGCCTGCGCACTATCCAGTGTATGTGGAAAACACATAAACAGGGGTTCTTCATCATAGTCTTATGGTTGGGAATATCCCTGACGAGGCGTCCTGGACCTTAAGGAGGCTCGAAACAGTATTTTTTGAGCGCGCGCGCTCTATAAATTTGTAATATTCAAACTGAAAAAAATCAAAAACTCTGTGGTAAAAAATTCTGTAAGAGGGAACTATTCCAAACAAATTGTATTATTTTTTACAAAATTCCTATTACAGATTTTTTTCTTTTTTTGCCAAAAAGAAGATTACGATACAAACTTTAAATATTCCGGTTTTAAAAAAATTTCACCATTCGGTTCCTGAGTTATGATTTTTTAAATGAACATTTTTGATGGCATACCAAGCGTTCTGATGTTGTCATAGCAACGTCTGACGTCATTTCTTCATGCTAATTGTGATCTTTGGTTTATAGTTTTGCATTCCGGGTTTCACGCTGTCATATTATAGCCATATTAACTTTTTTTAGTTCATAATTCTAAGTGTATGTGAAGGCACAAAACACTTTCCAACCTCCTTAAGCCTAATGACAGAAGAATTAAATTAAACAGCATGCACGTTCTTTGCTATAATTGAAAATATTTCAAGCTATTTCAGTTAATTAAAGAACGGGGCCTGGTACAAAGGGTAGATACGCTATTTGGTGGATAAATCTTATCCAATGGATAAGTTATTGGATATGCACCTTATCCACTGATGAGGTACAACCAGACACAGTCATTTAGCATGCCGTTACATAAGGCAGCCAAGATATCTCTGCACCGAGAGGGTCCTAATAGTCTGTTCATTCTCTGATGGTGTCGCCTTATTTTGCTCACTGATTCAACGAAAAGAGAGTTTCCTAAATTTAAAAAGCTTTATTTATGTATTCAAACATTAAAACAGTTATGAAGTACGAGTTAACTAAGCGTGAGGCAGAGTGCCATACTGCACATCTGAAAAAAGCCGAAAATCCGTTTTACGGGCGACTTGCATTCTGCATAAGATAATCAATATCAGCCATCCGCTAAGCTTTGTTGCTCTAGCTTCGTTGGTACACTGAATTCACTCGATATTCTATCTTTTACTATGACATTTCTTGAATCTAAAGGTTTCCATGATTATGGAGTTTGTCATCTAATCAATATATTAGGGAGTTCAATGCAAGTACTACCAACGGCTATTACCATTCAAAGGCCGCACAGATCAAGAAAATCTTCGAATTTGGAATATAACCTAATAATAATCAGCGAATAGTTTTCGTGTCAATTGTTTGAGCTAGTGGAGCTTTCGTATTTGAGTGTTCATGCATGCTGGGCCTTCGAATTCGATTCTTATGGGTACCGTAAACCAGAACAAGAAGCGAGGACCTTCGGTCGTAGTCCTTACTAACAGTTGTTCTATATACTTCTGATCATTTTCCACCGAAATTTTGTATTTTTCCCCAGCATCCATAACATCAGAATACAAGGGTGTTACAACTGTAAAATATAAAATATGAAATGTGAAATTGTAGCCCAAGTCAGCTATACGTGAGTACCATAATACAAGTTAAGTATCTGCCTCAAAAACCTATACGAATGCTTCTGGCGGAAAGCTTGAACGATATGAATAGAAAAATATTCACAAGCCCTGTTGCAAGAGCCATCGTTTCTGGCTCAGTCATTAAAACAGCTACTTTGAAAAATGTGATGATGTGGGCAGCAAATAAAAGATAGCCATGGAAAAGTTGACGAGTAGAAGTAGAGGGGATCCTTGATTCTGAAAGTACCAGCTGGAGGAACTGACTGTTGTCGGGACGCAAGAAGACTGTTGCAACAATAGTACAAAAAACTGCCAGTATGGTAGTAATGACTACTGGTTGATCAAGATGTTGGATTGAACAAAAGCGAAGACCAGCAGACATCATAATCACATAAATTGGACCAAATAGAATTCTTGGCTCTCGAAGTAAATCTTTCAGGTTCTCTGGTTTTCTTAAGAACTGCGTTGTGGCTAAGATCAGGGGTATACTACTGAACGTTTTCTCTGTAAAATCAGCATAAAATGCAATATACAAAGTAATGCTGGAAGCTAAAGTTTTCAGTAGTTCATCTTTGAACTGTGTCGCTATCGTATATCCCAGAGCAAGAGCAACAGCAAGGGATCCTAATGATCTTGGCAGCAAGGTGTAGGAAACACCAATGGCGAAACTTATGGGTGAAGAATCTATTACAACTTGCTTCAAATGAACTTGAAATGTAAAAGATCTCTTGTAAAATACAGCAATGATTCGTCCCACTAGGTAGCATAAGGAGAAATGATCAATAAATTCTAGAATATCGTCCATTTTGGGTGGGCAACCTCACGGCCTAATCCAAATGACTTGTCTCAGCAGTCGTAGATGGGTTCCTGAAAGTAGGATTATTTATGTCAAGACTATGAATTCCACTCTTCAGCAAGACTTCTGATTCAGGTCACTGCATCATAGTGCTAATTCATTCAACGAAACTATTGTTCAGCGCTCTAGGAAATTTTAATTTTTAAAACGCTGATAATTTCGGTTCATGGAAGCATTGCTAATATATGCCTTATTCTTGGAAATTCAAACCAGCACAAAGGGATCCCATAATGAGATTTTCTCTTTCCATTTCTTTTGCTGGTGCATGAGCAGACGTGTAACAAACCAATTTACGTACCTTTTTGGCTTTGCAAATTTTTGCCCATTTTATAAAACTTAGGTGAGACTTAAGTTTTCAAATGCTTTTATACTTCATGATCAATTATATATTATAAATTATAATTAATTATATAAGTATAACGATACTCATTATAATCGTATAATGTGAACAAGGATATTAGAGATTTCTCTTAGTCCTGATAGAGTTGTTTCGATAAAACCGTGAAATACACTTGAGTACATTAGCTTATAGCACTACCTCACTCTATTCCATTTGTTTTCTATTGCGTTTATATCTGACTTTTATACTTGAAACTTGAATTAGTACGCTTTGTTTCACGGGTTAATGAAAACAGCTCTAGCATTTTCGCGGGTGGATTCAGGATTTTTTTAAAGGGGGCTTGTAACATTGATTGAAGTACTTGTTTGGCGGGAAAGTAGCACAGGGTTCCCAAACGGAAATAGGTCTTATGATAATGATTATTTGCTGCAGGCGAGCATGGTTGTTTCAGGTCCCACACACGACGTGTAGAAAAAAAAGCAAGCGAAATGTGTT